AATGTAAAATCCAATCTTCGTTGGGATTGAGCTAATTATTCAATTATCTCACCCTTGCTTGTCGTCAAATGCCTATGATTCAAAAGATCCAAACCTTTCAATCTACTTTCAGATGTTGTACTTCTTGGTATGTTTTTTCAGAGACCTGCAGGCCCGGCACTGGACCGGACAGTATTTTATTTTTTTTAAATATACCCCGGCCGGGCTTGATTTTTTAAAAAAATATCCGGGCCGGGCTTGAATTTTAAAAAAAAACACCCAGACCGGGCTGTATTTTTTAAAACAGCTATATTTGAAATCGTTATTATTAGCTATAAAAATCAAAAATAAATATAATTTATTTTAAAAAAATCCGGGCCGGGTCTGAAAATTTTTTAAAAAAAGCCGAGCCGGCCTAAAAATTTTTTCAAAAAAAGCCAGGCCGGGCCTGAAAATTTAAAAAAAAACCTAAACCGAGCCGTAAAAAATCTTTAAAAAAAATCCGGGCCGTGCCCTGCAAATGGTACTTCTGCAGGCCTTTGTTATTCTTCTTAAGAAAGAGAATGTTCTCTCATTAGTTTATTAATGGGAAGAGTTTATAAACCCTTTTAATACATTGGGAATTTAATCTAAAATGTGTTTGAAATAATGCAGAGCATCCATAGCATTTTTTGGGACTATATCAACCATAGTTAATCTTATAAACATAGTTATTCAGCTAGTAAGGCATCATAAGATACTTTAACATCTTAATAATAAAAATCTAACAAATATTTTTTTTTCTATCACCATCTGAAAAAGGTTGGGAAGGCTTTTGTGGAAGTAATATTTGCAGATTAGTAAGTGCTGCATGATGAATAAAAAATTCATTTATTTGGGTTATAAATGTATCTGTATCTAAGATATACTCTTCTACTGATCCTATTTGACGATGAGCTTGCCTTGCTACAAGTCGAGGGAGACAAATATTAAACACGTATAGCTCTGCTTTTGACTCAACAATAAAATATAAAATTCTTCATTAACATTAGCCCTAATTTCCTTGAGTTCTGATAAAATGCTCTCCGCTATTCTCATCTTCTTAATCAAGTCAATGTCATGTTTTTGAAAAGTAATACTTAAAATAGTTGTATAATTAAATAATACATTCTAATGAGAAATACAATTTGGAATAAGCATTGAATCCAATAATTTTCTTGCTTCTGAGGAAATATTTCTTTTAGGGCCATTGTGATATTTCAGTAATAGCAAATAATTGGCTCTTCTTCCTTAAAAGCTGTTACTGCTTGAGGGCAGAGACTCTATCTCGTTGGACAAGGTTGCAACTTTTTCCCTGAAGGACCAGAAGTTTCAGAAATAATTATTATTTGACTAGAAATTTGAAAATGGTAGATAAATATTACGTCACTAAATATTTGAAAATAATAAGTAAATATTCCGCCGGAAAACTTGAAATCGAAATTAATTGATAAAATAACTTATGAATGTGATAATAAATGTAATTAAATATATATTTTATATGAGATACGAATAAATATTAACAAATATAAATTAATATAAACAATAATATTTTTGAAAAATATACCTGGCATCTGCATTTTTTGGCTTTGAGGGGGGGGGGGAGGATTTGCCCCCTGCCTCCCCCCCCCCTCCGCTGCGTACGCCAATGATATTAAACAATTAATATATATATATATATAAATTTTTTAATTATTAATTTGAATGAATCAAAGCATTAATAAATGATCTAGATGAATTATATGATATTATATAATTATTAATTTGAATGAATTAAACCATGTGCAAGAAATAAGGGTTATCCTTTAACAATTAATTAATAGTTACTGAAATATATGTATGTATAAGCATTTATTTATATATATTTTTAAAAATTTAAAATATTAAAAATAATTCTATATATTTTTCAATTGAATATTTATTTAATGAAAAATTAGGTAAAAATATAATTCTATAATTTTGATTAATATTATTTTTAAGTGGTTATTGATTTTTTAAATTATCTAGGTTAACAATTAACAATAAAGCTCTTTTAAATAAGTGGATGCATGCAGGTAAAAGATATTTTAAACCAAACTAATACTCATAAGATATGATTCCTGATATTTCTACAGATTAAACAATTATAAACTGATGAGGTCTTGAATATAAAAAAGTGTCATTTTCAATTATATTTCCGGGACATTGTCAGAAAATTAATAAGTGAGAATAAGGTCAATTGCTTGACTTGTATTAAAGCTAATAAAAGATCTTGATGATTTTATGATATTAATTATTTTTAATTAATAATATAAATAATGAGGAGGGGCTTATATACCCCTCATCTAGTGCCACAAGAATATGTCAAATAAAATATTCTTTTCAAACACTTGAATTTAAAAATTTAATATAACATAAAAAGGCTCCCCTTATATTAGACAATTATGTATTTTCTAATATAATTGACTGTCTATTTTTCCAGATTTGACACACCATATGTTATTTGCGAGAAAAGAAGCTTAAATTAAAAAATATATATTAGAAATAAATTAGTTAAAAATATAATATTTTTAGGTCAATATTTTTTTTCTCATTTTATAAACATATTTTCCTGTCTTTTATAAACTTTTATGTATTCCTGAATTATATGGGGTTATATTTAATTTTTCTTTCCTTTTGTAATTTATCAATTTATCTTTTCTTCCAAAAAATTTTTACATGAATTTTAAATTTATATCATTTTATATTATATATATTATATTCATATTCTGTTGTAAATTAAATAGCTATTTTTGTTATAAAAAATATACAAATTAAATTTTTTAAAAATGATTAATCTCGTGGAAATTTTATTGTTACTTTATTTTCTTATTATATATTATTAATTTTTTGCATTCACATATATATAATATATATATGAATTTTTAAACAATAATTTAATTTTTATTAAAGCTTGATATCATAATTTTTAAACAATAATTTAATTTTTATTAAAGCTTGATATCATAATTTTTAAAAATATAGGGAATTATAATAGAGTTGATGCAACATACAGAAAATAATAATTTTTCCAAAACATCTGTTTACTCAAAAGAGCTTTGTTTTAAAAAAACGTTTATTATAATTATTTATTAGTATATTTATTGAGATTATTAGAAAATAATAACTAAAATTTTATATAAATTTAAGGTATTTATATATATATAATGTATATTAAAACATTTTGAAAAATTTTATATCTTGCAATTTATATTTTTATGCTATTTAAATAAAATAAAAATAAATTTCATAAACATATGAAATATTTAATCTTAAAATAAAATCATTATAACATAGACTCATTAATATAGTTCCTCTTAATCGGTAAGAAATTTATATAAATATAAAGTCTAATTGTATTTTATATAATGACTAACATTTAATAATTTTTATAAGAATATTATTTCTAATTAGTATAATGACTTGATGGCATTAGGCCTAAATAACTGCTTTTCTACAATGAATAATTTTAGATTCTAACATTTTCAAACAGCATCACAATGATACAAATCTTACACACTATAAATAATAACTCCAACTATATCAATGTTTGGTAGCTACTCATTTCAATTTCTAGCCTTCTTAATTAATGATTCACTTGGTCAGATTTTATCATAAGCGTCTAAGAAAAATTAGCTCCTACATTGATAATATCTATATTTCATCTTTTCTTATTATCTATAGAGCTAACTGTTTTTAAAAATGCCCAGAATTTAAAAAAATATATTTTATAGACACTAAAAAAATACCTTCATTAAATGTTATCTGTAAATCGTTGCTTTCTCTCTCATGATTGGGACATTTTTGTTACAATTTTTGCTCATCATTTGTTTATATCATGAATAACACATTTATTTTGGTATTTTATTCCTTATTGGTCGTTTATTTGTCAGGTTATTTTTTGTTAGATTCTATTTTATAAATTGTTGAAACATAACAATCGTAGAATATTGCAGAATTATTTTTTGTCAAGGTTTTCAGTTCATTAATTACCTTAACCTTTTACTTAGGGGGGTTAAAGTCTTGAAGGTCTTCTAAAAATTAATATAATAATTTCATAGAATATATTTTAAATCATGAATTATAAAATTGGGATTTGGTGGGAAATAGCTAATTCACAAATTTTTTAATTGCTTATCACTCACTAATTTCAAATTTATAAATTGAAGCATTTTTTCATTTATCTTATTAAAATAAAGATATTAGCATATAAATGGAGCCTATAAAATTTCGCTCGCATTTAAAAATTGCACTTAAATTATATGTAAATGGTTATGACTGCACTTATTTTTTTTATTATGTTAAAAATTCGAAAAAAATATATTCAAAATAGAATCCCTTCATAAGCGTAGCCAGAATTTTGCTAGTGGAGGGGGATTAGACAGGGTTTTCTTCCATATATTTTATTGGAGTCATTAGTTCCACTTATTGTAGGCCTTTAGCTATGTTAGATAAAAATATATTTGAGTTTTCACTTTTTTTATAAAAATGTTATTTTTTTAATAATTTTAAATTATAGTCGTTATTTTTAAAAAATATTAATTTTTACTAGTTTTTCTTTCAAATTTTTGTTTAAAATAATATATTATATAAATTTTTGAGGAGACGAGGTTGGAGGGGGGGGGGGGTTATGTGAGGAAATATCTTTCATTTGTAGAATGATATTTACAAGAACAGGTATATTTCCGAATGGGGGAATTTTCCGTCACCTCCCTCCATCTGGTTATGCCTATGTTCCCCTTCCCGACAACCCCCTCCCACTTTAAATTGATTTTCCTATAATGGAAACTGTTGAAATTAGATTTGTAATTAAGATATTTGTTCATTTTCTCCATTTCTCATCAAGTATAAAATTTTTTTAAATATTTTATTTATAAATACCATTTCTTCATTTCATAAACGCGTATAACATGTGTTACTATAATTAAAAGACATAAAGGAGGCTTAGAGTCAAAATTTATACAATTTTGAAAATTGTACGCACTTTTATAAATATATAAATAACACATTTGATAAAGTATGAAATAAAAATAAAAATACATACACATAGAGAAGATCTAATTATATGTATACTATTATTTATAAGAGAACAATATCCTAATAATATAAATTGTTTATATACTGTAAGCTAATTTTGGAAAGATGGGTAATATGTCAAAAATGGAATGTTGTAAAATGCTTTACAATAAGTCGCATATAGGCGGAACATGAATGTAGGGATAAAATGTCTCGGTTATTGATTCAATAGAATTTTCTTTATGATCAACTTGACCTCCCATTACCACACCAAATAATTTTATACCTATATTTTATTAAATATAATTTTTAACTATAATTAAATTTATGTTCTCGCCTATCTTAAAATTAGCAATTATATCAAATATTACATTAAAATCGGTCACCGTTTTTAGGTAAATTAGCGTAGCCGATCAATATATTAGTAACTGCACTGACTTTACAGATTTTAATTTAAAAAAATAGAAAGATAAATTATAATTCAATGTATTCATTTATTTTTATCTAATTTATTACAGCACTCTTAGTTTAATAAGTGTTATTAGAGTTTTTAAATCGTTTTTATGCCCGAACTCTTTATAGATGTATGTACGTAATCCAGAATTAAATTTAATAAAATCTGTTTAAAGAGTTACCATTTACTCACGGTCACATTAATAATATTTTACCTATTTCCATACATCAAATGAAATTTTAATAATGTTTTAATTAACTTAAAAATATTAATGAAATCTTTTTAAGTCTATACTTTTATAAAATAATGAATATTTCTTTTCCCTAGAATAAAAAATAATTTATAACAAATAATAGAGATAACTTTCATAAAGAAATGGACAAAGATAACTAATATCCAGTAGTGTATTTCTTTAAAATTTTGAGGAGGGGGGGGGGGGGGGTTACGATTTTTTATATATTCAGAAAAAATGTTATATGGTCTATATTAGAAGTGGGCACGGGCTGTAAAATTACCGGCGTGAGTGTGAATAAATTTTAAATTATTAGGCGTGAATTGGCCTGACGGGTTTCGCAAAATTTTTGCCGGGGGTGATTTGGCTTAAACATATTTCCCATGAATCACGGAATTTTAATTTTTTAAATTAATTTTTCAGGAATATAATTTTACAATTTTAATATATATTTTCTTATTTAATTCTTTTTGATATAGGAATATTTAAAACAAAAAAAATTACGAATTTTATAAACAACATTTTTCCCCGTCTTTAAAATATCATTTGAATGAAAAATAACTTAAAACTGCTCGACTCTTGTTCATCAATGGAAATTTGGTAATTAATTTAATTTAAATATGTTTTATTTTCATTTATCCTTTTTATATACCGATCATTTGCGCTCAAACTATATTCCAGAGACCTGCAGAGGTACCATTTGTACGGCCCGGCCCAGATTAAAAAATTTTCGGCCCGGCCCGGATTTTTTTTCAAAAATTTTTTACGGCCCGGTCCGGATTTAAAAATTATTATCATATTTTTCGGCGAGTATTATCATTTAATAAGCAAGTATATTAGCAATGTTATTAATTGGCTCGTTTTGAGCCGATTTTTAAAAACGGCTAACTCAATATTTTTGCCAGAAAAATATTGACTTGAGCCTCGAAATTTCGATACTATATGTTTAGACCTTTGCTCCTTCCATGAGCAAAATTTTCAGGCTTGCATAATATTTTTCTGGATAAAACACTGAGTTAGCCGCTTTTAAAAATCGGCTCAAAACGAGTTATTTAACAAACATATATTTTTTTTTATTCTAAACAGATATTTAGTATAATACAAATTGATACTATAAAAAATTTGTGTAAATAATATTTTGAGAATATACTATGTATTTATAAAAAACATAAAAATGATATTTTAATTAATAAAAAATATAACATATATTATATATTATATAATAATATATTTAATCCTTTGCATATTTATTCCATGGCAGGAAAACTATAATTTTATTATGTAATAGATACTATGAGTGTTAGCTAGTGTTAACTTTCATCAAACATTATATTAATCATAACTATATATAATCATTGTAACCATATCTAATTGACGAATAGAAGTAATGGAAGATGTGATGAGCAAAATCTTGGCTAAGTTTTCATCTGACAGACAAATACAAAGCATTTAATAAAATATTTGATATTTTTTTCAAAAATAATGATTTAATCCACCAAATCAATAGACAAATTTTGCAATTTTCTTAGCCTTAACTAGATTAACGATTCGTTCATTAAATGCATTTAAAAGTGTCCATACATAGAAGTTCATCTGTAGCGTCATTTGTGGTTTGCATCAATAGTGCTACAGTTGACTCCGATGTATGGAATGTATCGCCAATTTAGTAGTATATATATACATATCATTGGCCTTATGTTAAACTAACTATATAATTTTATAGCTATATAGAGCCATTTTTTAGCATAATAAATGCATCATGAAAAATAAAATCGTTCTTATTCAATGTATTCTAAACCGAATTAAAGGTCAAATAAATTTAAACATGAATTGCCTAGAGACACGAAATTTAGTTCCAAAGAAATGTAGCTGATAAATAAAATTGATTATCAAATAAATAAATAAAATAGATTATCGAATATATATATAAAATGGAATCTGATTTTTTAAAATTTTGATTTTAAAAATATGATTAGGGGAGACTGGGAATAGTGTTATCCCGGGGCAGGTAATTTCTTCTCAAATAATTTTAAAAGTAATAAACCTTTGATATTTGAAATTTAAACCATAAATGAATTTTAATAAGACACTTCATTGGTTCTAAAAATGTCTAGCTAAAATGCTCAAGAAAAGTTTTAAAGGTAATTTAAGATAATGTTAGTTAAAAATAGAAGATAATGTAGATAATGTTAGCTATAAAAAAGGTAATTTTGGATAATGTTAACTAAAAAATGGTAATTTTGGATAATGTTAACTAAAAAAGGGTAATTTTTAAAATAATTAAAAAAAAATTTTTTGAGCCCCCTGAGTTTGTAAAGGCTAGGCCTCTGTTATAATGTATATATAGTCTTGGAAGACATGCAAGGCATGTCACGATTAATTCAGTTATTAGTCATTCTTATAAGAGGCCATAATAATATCCTGGAGCCAGCTAATTTATTATTAGGTGGATGGCTTATGGCCAGATGGTTTTGTACATTGAACTTTAGATAAATCCTTAAAGTGAAACTTCACATGCATCACTTCATTTTTTAAAAATGTAAATTCTCATACGGTTGAGATAGTCAAGAAAATAAAACAAATAGTCTAAATTAACAAATACTGTCTTATTTTACCAATCGTTATCTCTTCCCTTGTGACATATGTTTAGCAGAATTTTAATTTTTTAAAAAAATAGTTTGTAAATAAGAACCCTTACACCAGAACCCAATGAATTTTAATTTTTAAAACAATAAATTAAAATTACTATTTTATAATATAATTATTCTTGTTTTTTGAGAACTTGTAGTCCCAATTCCGTTTTTATAGAATGAGCGTTTTTATTTTTATTATATTATAGTTTATAATTGGAATATTAAAAAATTTTTACAAAGTTATCTAATGATTTTGACAAATTTTTGAAAATGAATTGAGGAGGGCATATTTACCTTTGCTTTCACATGTAGGGAATTTGTACATGTTTTTAATATGCAACTGCAATCTAAAGATTTGTTGTTACTAATTAGCAAAATAATGATACAACCCTATTTATCTTTACAGCTTACAAGAAATAGAAATTTAAATCTGAAATGAATAAAACAACATTTTAAATTGTAATTTTCCTGTATTGACATTTTCCCACAAACGCATTATGTAAAATTTGAATCACTATCATAAATGTCCTAGAACTCGAAAAAAAGTACACAGGAGAAAAAGACACTCGAAAAAAATAACCCAATTTTAGAAATTTTTTTAACTGTTTCAAAAGTCATTTTCTTCAAGGAAATTCAAAAAGGTTAAAAATAGCGATTATGACAATTATCATTTTTATATGGTACATCTTCCTGAAATCTTAATTTATCATGTTTATAATATATTACCCATTTGCTTCATAATAAGTTAAAAAATTATGATTATGACAATTGTCACTTTTCTCTGATGCATCTTCACTGCTATCTTAATTTAACATGTTTATATTATATATTTTACCTATTTGCTCCAAAAAATCTCAAAAAAGTTTAAAAATAACGATTATGACCATTGTCACTTTTCCATGATAAATGATACTTCTATTTAGCATATATACAACATATAATTTTACCCTTTTGCTTTAAAAATGTTTAAAAATAACGATTATGACAATTGTCTTTCTTCCATGGTTCATCATCACTGAAATTTTGATTAAATATATTAACAATTTATATCTTTATCCATTTCCCTCAAAAAAATTTAAAAATAACGATTATGAAATTGTCAGTCTTTTATGGTTCATCATCACTGAAATTTTAATTTAACATGTTAACAATTTATATTTTTACCCATTTGCTCTTCAGAAAAATTGAAAAATATTTATAAATAACGATTATACAATTTTGACTCTTCTATGGTTCATCACTGAAATAATGATTTTACATGTTTACATATATATTTTTACCAATTTACTTCAAAAAAATTAAAATAACAATTATGGCAATTGCCACTTTTCTATGGTACATCTTCACTGAAATCTTGATTTAACATTTTTACAATGTATAATTTTAATTTACTTTAAAAAAAATCAAAAATATTTAAAAATAACAATTATGACTGCCACTCTTTTATTGTTCATCATCACTAAAATTTAATTTAACATGTATAGTGTTTATGTTTTTATCTGTTTGCTTATTCAAAAAAATAAAAAAAATAACGATCATGATAAATATCACTATTCTATGGTACATTTTCAAAGAAATCTAAGTTTAACTTGTTTATAAAATATATTTTACTTTTAACCCACATGCCTTAAAAAAATTAATAACGATTATGACAATTTTCACTTTTCTATCATCTCACGGGAACCTTAATTTAATATGTTTACAATATATACTGTTACCCAATTGCCTAAAAATCTTTAAAGAAGTTTAAAAATATCAAATATGATAATTGCCACTTTTCAAGGCTTCCCTTCCAAAAACTATATTTTATTTTAATTTTAATTTAAACTTATTCAAAATAAAAAAAATATATTCAATCATAAACTTAATTAGAAATATAACATTTATACCATGATTGAGTTCGGGTCGAATTTTGAGTGGGGTCAAAATAAACAACCCTTTAGGATGAATTAATAAAAACGACCCAT